TTGACCACTCTTGCGAGGGCAAGCTCCTCTCCACGGGCAGGAAGCTTCAACTGACCCTCGGTCTTATTTAACAAGGATGACAAACTTCAAGGAAAAAAAAATTGATGTATGAATGAAAACGTGCTGAATCAACATTATCACCTTCCTCGGAATAAACTCGCAAGGATTTTCGTGTTCTTCTTTAGCAACAACCGATCCATAAGCGTTTACTGTCTTCATCTGATTCCCTACCCGGATTAAAACGTATAGTACTGTTTTAAACAGAATTATTTTGACAAGCTCACCAAGCTATTTTGAGACAACGTGACAAGGTAAAAATAACTGACCAATCAGAGGAGCTATTTAAACAAAAGCGATGGTTCGAAACAAAAACAAACGACCACGTTGCATCAAGGTTGGAAATGGGCCTTAAAGGGTTAAATTGTGAAATAATGAAATTCAAGGTATAAAACTCAATATTTGCAACGTATCTTGACGGCTGAAACCTAAATAACTTCGGACTTCTTTGCTAAAGGCTATTGAAAAACGAATAACTAAATCAAACCTAAATAGCTAATAGTTTTAAAATCAAGTAAAAGAAGTGTTTGGAAGGAAGAAACTGAGGAACAAGTCCGGGACAAGTTTACAAAGTTCTCGAGAGGTGTGTTCGTGAGATGCTGTGAAGTATTTATATTTCATTTACTTTCTTCAATGTTGTTTCATCGTGTTCTTTGAGCTTAAAAATCGACCCAACTTACAGTGCACGACTTCACAATTCATTTCGTAGATTTTCGCTTCGCGTTCATAATCTTTTTCGGAACGTCACGTACTCTTTATGATATTCCGAAAACTGCTGCGAACGAGACAGAGGTTATGGGTTCAAATCCCCGGTCGATGCCTTTTGTTTTTAAGCCCCTTCACGCAAGTAACACAGGAAATTTACCTCAACTAAGATCGTCTTTCTCTCTCGATAAAGTTAACCTTGGCTTGTCCATGAGACTTTGTTAAAAAGTAATCATCCAGCAAAGTAACCGCGTTAAGGCGAAAATAACTAACAGTCGCGGGATTAGTCTTTGCCATCTAGCATGTACATCACGCAAATTCCTGGAAACTCACGGCTTCATTGAAAGTAATCCCTTATAAAAATGTTTTACCCGCAAAGATTATCAGGAGAGCTTTGTAGTTGAACGTCTTTCGATCTTGAATAATCGATCTGAAACGGAAACCAGTTTATGGAATTTGGGGAAAATGGCATCTTCGTGAATTAATCGCATAAATTCCTGAAGAGCCGATAGCAGAGCGGCATAGCAACCACAAAGATCTGACATTCTCAGAAAGCTGCCAAAAATAAACAATTTTTCCGAGAAAGACGGGGTAACGCACTCCATTCCAAGGGTACTATGGTCAAGGAGTCTGTCGTCTCAAGAGAGACTTTCACTTCATTTTTGCCCTCCCCTCCCACCTTAAAAAGAATACGCGAGATCGGCTAACGCATGTCAGAGTATTGATACAATTAAAATGCAGATGCCTTCTGTTTATTTTTTTTTTTTTAATGTAGACAACGAATATCATGGCGAGCGTTTGGTTCCTTACGGTTTTGTGTGCCCTTCAATCTATTGTCCTCACAGGTAAGAAATGTTCTTTATCTTGCGGATTTCTAATTTTTAAGTCTAGTTGATTAACGTTCAGTTCCAGTTGGCAAATTATCTGCTCTAGTGGATTGACTCGACAGTTTTGCAATAAGATTTTCCACATCTATGATTTAAGTTTCGATTTGTTGCGAATCTGGTTTTCTTTGTCAATAGTCGATGAACCGTTTAAAGCATTTTCCTTTGTAAAAGCTTATGTCCTTCTTTTGAACCAAACTTTGACACACAGCGCGCATTCATCGGAACTTACAAATAGGGATTTTGGTAACAGCTTCTATTCAACTGACTCCTATGATAGTGAAAGATGTCGCATATTCCGAGCTATTTGCCGATTCTGTGGGAGATGGTTCTATTGCAGTAATCATCAATTCCCATAACTTATCAGACATATAATCTTCTTGGTGAAGTTCATCATGGTGAGAGGCACTCATGGTGAGAGGCGATCTACATCACACGTGACTACATCGTGAAACAAACGAAAAACTTAGCTTTCATTTTTATTTAAGGCACTCAATTGTCATCGTTTCTTTCTGTTATCATTTCTGTTGTTTTATTCCGAAACAAAATAAAGTAGTTCTTTAGATCAGCTCGCAAACGTTCAGTATAGGTAATCACATGATTTCGAGTGCAATTTGGAATAAATAAGACTAACAAAATTACACGAGCCCGTAGGGCGAGTGCAATTTGTGGTCTTTGAAAAAACTTACAAGTGCACGAGAAAAGTGCACGAGAAAAATCATGTGATTATGTATTAATAATATACATGAAAAAATACGAGATAGCTTATCACAATTATGCAGAATCAAATGCAAAAATAATTTATTCAATCCCTGCAAGTGACATCGTGCGTTCGGTCAAAACCGCCGCGTAGGATGAAAACAGTAATATACAATGATATTTTGACATCTTAAGGCGCAAAAATGTTCAAGGAATTGTTCAGACTGGTTTGTTACTTCTTTGCACCGAATTAACCCTTTTCTGCACTGAACTGCCTGAAAACTGCATTATCTTAGCCAATCAGAACTGAGTAATTTTTCATGTATCTTATTAGTATATGTAAACACATGAGACCAAGTACTATTAAGGATTAATTGCACGAGAGTTTTCAAAATTTTCCAAAATTGCTCGAGTCGCGAAGCGACGAGGGCAATTTGGAAAATTTTGAAAACTCAAGTGCAATTAATCCTTAATAGTACGAGGTCTCATGGGATTAGTTGTTTATCAATAAAGGGCAAAATTTATACGAAGGAAAATCACGCGCGCAGTCTATTTTTAACAAATTTCAAGATAACGAACGGTTGCTATGCAACGGATTAGCCAATCATTAACAGGTAATCATGCCCTCTCTTGATTACTAAAAATGCCCTCGATTAAGAAAAAAATGCCCTCTCTCTCAACAAATCAGCGCTCAGTAATTTTGCCCTTTATTGATAAATAATGTAACAAACTCCACAACGAACCGATCTGATTAACACAACTTCCGTCAGGGAAGACACACTTTCCCTGATCGCTCGAGGAATCGATTCGCGAACCAGCATCTTCTGAATATTTTCATAATCACCATCGGCAAAATGAGAAACATTTTCACTTTCGCAGCTATCACTCTTGCTCTTTGCATCATTATTGTACCTAGATATGGAGAAAGTATTAAAAAAAGGGCACTTTCTTATCAACCACATTTACCAAGATGCCGTACCATTCCGCACTGTGGTCCGTTTACGACACATGTATCGAATTGTTTTATATAAGCTTCGAAGAAACAGTGAGTTGATGTCTGAAAACACATTACAGACAGAAATTTTTGATAACAACGATAACTACCCCCTAGAGGGGAAGAGGGAATGACAGGTCATAACATCCACCATAGATATCCATAGCTATTCGCCCTGGTCGACAACAAATGATAAGATTAAATGGACAGCTGATTTCAAACGATATGATTCAAAGTTTATATGTATAGTAACTTAAAAGGTATTTTATTTGCAGGGGTGAGCTTTTCTCATAATATTTTCAGAGTTTTCACTACCTTCTACTGTTGACAAAAGAAGGACGCAAGCGCTAACGGGTTTCGGAAACTTTCTAAGCCTAACAATTAGTAGTGTAAGCATTTCTGTAATGAGTACTGAAAAGACCGAAATTAATTTTTTTTGACAGATGCCACTCAAAATGAATACAGCGACAGATCCGAATCACTATTGGCTTTCTTGAAACATTTCAACCATAGCAGACATCACGTGACTAATCCCGAAGGAAAGAAGAAAGCGCAGGAGTTCATTCATCAAACTTTCCAGGATTTGGGCCTTGTCACGTGGCTTGAAAAATTTGAACCCGATTATCCAAAGGTGACTATCCTTTGTTTTCTGGTTTATGTTTACTTAGTTTACTTGTTTAGTCAATTGTTTTATAATGAAGACCAGGATGTTATTTCCTGAAACATTACGGCGTCTGTTCACAAACCCAGTGCCCACTTGGTGATGCTACTTATCACTTCATCCTGTTTCTTCTTTCTTCCCCCCTCCCCTCCCCCCTTGATGTAAAGTTATTCCATCGCAGACAAGAGAATATCAACAATTGATATTCTCTTGATCGCCGACGGCTACTCCCGAGGTGTACCTGATAGTTTATCTGTACCCATTTATACTACAGAACGGAGAGAAGCGTTGTTAGGGATGAAGTGCCTTGCCCAGGAACACCCCGGCCAGTTCTCCAGCCTCGACGACAGTCAGTGAGTCAGCCAGTGTGTTAGTCTGACCGTCGATCAGGCGAACCGTCATTTCACCTCAAAAGAAATGGCCAAGTCAATTGATGCCTCTTAAATGACCCATTCTAGCAAAACACGTATTTTTTCAAATCATTCTAAGATTTGTTTGTGAAAATTCTGTCTTCCCTTTTAAGTACGCGACTGGAGAAAACATAATCGGAATGGTCCCTGGCAAACTCGCTGGCTCGCCAGACGACAGGTTGTTTCTGATCGGTGCTCATTACGACACGATGCGAACTACCTCACATGGTACTGACGATAATGGCTCAGGCGTGGCTGCTATGCTTCAGGTTGCTAAGCAGCTCGCTAAAGGTATGGTTTGTCACGTGATTGTCTACTTGGAATGATGTTTTGAATATTCTGTTTAAAGGTTTTATTTGCGTTTATGGACAAAAAAGTGCGCTCAGGAAACTTGAAGGTAGCTTAGCACACACTCACAAATATGGTAACGAAAAATGATAACCGGATCAGAGATGAACTGAAAGGTCATTGTTATCTTCGGCCGAAGATCTTCACACTAAGACAACAAAATCGATGTATCTTACTTTCACTTTATCTATAAGCGTGTACTGATTATTGTTGTGGCACTATCAGTAAAACAGCGAGAGACAGGCAGGTGTGGACTGTTTCCTTTTCTTCTCCGCATCGCCGTCGGTGCAGCAGCGCGTATAATATATAAAGCCGGCTTTTTCACAGGACCTCAGTGGTTCGCAAGAAGGGTCTATTACGCTCTTTACTTTCTGCTTTTCTTTTTTCCAGATTTCTCCAGCTGTACGCGTAGTTTCAGCGTTATCTTCGTTGCATTTGACTTTGAAGAATGGGAATTTGATTGTTCCAACCAAAACGTCATGCCCGAATGTGCTTGTGGCTCTATCGACTGTGGAAGTCGCGCTTTTGTCGCAAATTTCACCCAATTTTACAACGGGTCCTTAAACTCAAACGGAAAGCTTCAGGGAGCGATAATCATGGACACAATATTCAACTATGACACTACGCCTCATTCGCAGCTTCTCCCACTTGGAGTTGAACGTTTTCTACCAGAAATTTACCATCAGATCAAAGAGGACAAATTTCGAGGGGATTTCCTTTCCATGGTTGGACGACAAGTGGATGATGCAGCGCTTCTGAACTCATTCTGGTATCATTACAGTCAAGTGAAATCTGGTAAGCAGCCATCCGGTCGTCTGCCTCGGCTTTCTTACCTTACCAGATGCTTGTGTAGCATTCTCCCCGACTTAAAATTAAACGATAATAAAATCAAACGAGTATTAAACCATTCGCCTTTTTTAGTTGATAAATGACGGATTGATCTTCATCGGTGAATCGCAATTAAACGAACATAAAGAAAAGTTTAAGCCTCAGAATACTACAATTAAATCTGAAGGTGCTTGAATGTAATATCAAATTCTTGTGCATTCTATTTTTATCACCGAGTTTTTTCATTATTATTATTGTTTGCCCGTAAAATAAGAGAAATTTAAAATTTAGTCGTGCAATGATATTTTAATATATGTAAATTTTTCTTTGAATGTTTTATTTACTCACATGACGCATTTGACGTTGTAGATCCTTGCAGTAGGCAGGACGAGT